ATTTTTCCAATCCTGAACTAGCTAAAATGGTAATGGATGCTCAGGTAGCTATGTTGATGAACACAACTCCAAAGACTACGACACCTTTAGTCGCACTAAACACTTCAGTCTTTGAGGTCCCTTCTCAATCGATGGAGTTCCTTGGTGAGCACGTAGAGGACTCTGGACAGCAGCTACTGTCAACAGGCAACAATCAACAACCAAACACAGCTATGGTCTCAACCTCTCAAGCATCCACAAACGAGTTAAGTGGCTCTAAGGATCAACAAGGTGCGACAAGTGCAATTGTTGTTACACGCAAGACCTGGGCTGATCAAGTTGAAGAGCAGGAAGACATAAATGATCCTGATTTCGGCCATTCCAAGCAACAGCAAATTGCAGCAGTTGATGCTACTGGAAGCTCAAGTGCAATGGCTACAAAGGTTTTGGTTTCAGATCAAGACCGGGCATCACTGGATACCTTGGGCAGTCCAAAACCTCAAAGATGTGCATACTCAACTGGCTCAAAAACGATTTCACAAAAGATAAAAGCAAAGAGACATGAGTCAAGTAGTGCAAAGAGAGTAAAGAGGCAGGAACCATTACAGATGATTTTACAAGAAGAAGATAATCAAAAACTAGAGCTAAACTTACGTCTTGATATTTATAATGAAGCAGAAGAAGATGAATTAGCAGCCACAAGTGGAGATTTCTCTCCTAAGCATAGTAAAATGAAGGAGGCTAATCAAGGAGTAACACTCAGACAACTTCCAATGAGAGCTGCAAAGCAAAAAGGGGTTGCCTCTGCCACATCTATAAGGTCCAATAGATCGAGAAGAAATGAAGAATTTTGAAGATTACTTGAAGACAGGTAAAGAGGATTTTAAGGAAGTTCAAATTAAAGAATTCACAAGTTTGATAAATGAGGGGCAAGACTATAAGTCCTACATGGTTTTAGTTTATCATTTTCAAAGCATCATCATTAGTAATAGCGTCGTAGAGTGTGTTATAAACTCTATGGCGATCATAGAATATTTGGTTCTTTCAAGTTCCTATTTTTTACATGCTTGCTAGAAGATGAGGCTTTTTCTTTGCCTCAATAGGATTAGTAAGGTAAGGTCCATGCCCCCGTTACATGTACTCTTCCTATGTGGTTCATTTTTTTATTTATTAACAAAACTAGCCCTAGGCACCTGCCTAGTGGATTGATTAAAAAAAACCAGTGGATAAACCCAAAAAACACGCTTGAGAGCTTGAGAGCTCTGGCGACTGGCGATTTGCGAAAGAAAAATCGCGAGCAGCTCTTCGAGGTCGTGCATGGCCTCTCCGGCCGGTGACCATCCCCCTTCAATGGCTGGTTTGCCTCCCCAAGCTCCCCCCGTCGTTCCTAACAATCCTATACAGTCCAAAACACCACTAGATTATTCCAGCATTCTTAAACCTAATACGATCAATGCAAGCATGCAAGGTAATGCAGCTGCGAAGAATACTGTTGATCCAATCCCAATGGGACGAGCAGCTTCTGTCAATGGGCAGCCATTAGTTACGTTCACGGAGGCAGAAGTTGATCGCATGAACGTGATAGAAGGACTTCAATATGCAGTCGTGGGTAAATTTGCGTATGGATGGCCAGAACTTTCTGAGATTCGTAGAATTGTTCCTGTTCAATGTGGAATTCAGGGAGAATGCAGCATTGGTTATCTTAGGGACAGACATGTGCTCATACGGTTAACATTATGGCAAGATTTTATAGAATTATCATCAAAAGGTGCATGTTACGTTAAGGACAAATATGGCATGGAGTACCAGTTGAGACCTCTTATTTATGATTCAAGATCAAGGCTGGGGAGGAAACACCTATGCAATGGCATGGATATCGTTTCCAGGTTTGTTACCTACATATTTCGTGAATGAGTGTCTTTTTTCTATTGCTTCAGCTGTTGGGAAGCCTTTACAATTGGATATGGCTACAACTAATAAAACTAGGCCTAGTTGTTCTAGAGTCACAGTGCTTGTGCATTTGCTAACTGATCACCCTAAGCAAGTTAGAATGGATATTTTGAATGAATCATCAGGTGAAATAAGGACTGAATGGGTTAATATCAAATATGATATGATACCTAAATATTGCAAAGAGTGTGGGCTACAAGGACATGATATGTTAGAATGTTGGAGATTGCACCCTGAGTTACTACCTCATGATCAAGGCAAGCAAAAACGAGAAATTACCAAAGAGAAGAATAACGAGCAGCATGAACAACCTCTAATGATTCTATCTAGTGGAAAAGTGGTGGGAAACATGAATGCTACTGGTGAACAGTGGAGGGAATTAAGGGATAATCGTATGAGGAAAAATGGTCAACAGTCTACTGTGAAAGAATTAGTTTCTGTCACAAATAATGGGCAGCAGGCTCAAGTGAGTACTGGTACTCAGCACAATAATGGTGCAATAGGGAAAGAAATTGTCCCAGTTGATGGTAATGATCAGCAAGGAAAAAGAAGTGAAAGGGAGGAGGTAATTCCAGATGTTGTAGCAGCTACTCAGCAAATTCAAATTACTAATATGTTTGCAGCTTTAGAAGGTAATGATGGTGCTAATGAAGACAACAATCAATTGGTTGTGGTGGAAGATAACAGTACTGCAATTCCAGCAACTAATAGTCCTATTGTTAAGAAATTAAATCCTACAGCAGCTGTGTTTACACCTAAGTCTACTGGAGTGGGGAGTACATCAATGAGAGGTAAGGAGAACAATCCTAATGAGAAGAATAATACAATAGTGGAAGGTATGCAAAAAGAATCAACAGCAGTATGGGTTAGTAGAACATTCAATGAGAAAATTGTTGCAACTAATCAATCCTGTCAGGAGATTCCATCTCAGACTACTGAGATAGATGCAGTTTTCAAGGTGGACAATGTTAAAGGGAACTTGCAACTAGATGGCAGAAAAGTTTGGAGCCAACAAGTTGAAGAAGACCAAGAAGAAGGTGAATTACCTGAGGGTGCTAGTGGAGAAGAGGAGTCATCAGATGAAGAAAATGATCAGGAAGGTAAATAACAAAGGCAAAGGGCAACGATCAGTGGAAAAATTCAAAATCAATAAGGAGCACAGTGGACAAGGTGACAGAATTCAAACAGATGCAGAGGAGGAGGGAGGTCAGGTTTTGATAAGCCCTAATCCTAATCAAAAACTACCTCCAGCTAAGCCAAATATACTTTATGAAAGGAACAGATGGTGTGGTGGAGCTTGTAGATGGGCAGGTGAATAAAGTAGATGGAACTGAGAATATAGGAGTTTCAGATTCCATTCAGTCCTGTGACAATGCAGGTGTAGGATCAGACAGTGCTGTTAGACAATCTATAGCAGCATTTAATGAAAGGAATGCAACATTGACTACAACTGTTTTGCCACAGCAGCTGGCAATACCAAAGGAACATGTGGGGTTGGAAGAGATTAAAGAACCAAGGGAGCATTTGGGAGTGGAGGATCTAAATGGTGACAGAGGTAAAGACTTTGATGAGGAATCCACTACACAGAATTTTAGAAATGTGGCAAGACAAGGTGATCTCTCACCCAGATATATGGACAAAGGCAGATCAGCAGGTAGAGGGAAGAAAAAGATTACAAGGGAGATTCAAAGTTCAGTACCTGGGGTTCAAACAAGAAGGACCCTTTCTAAAAATCACAATTAATGATGAAGGCTATCATTTGGAATGTGAGATCAGTGAATACAAAGAAAGCCTTTGAGAGGCTTATCAATTATCCGAAACAATATCATTTTCAATTCATAGGGATCATGGAACCAATGCAGAAACCTAGGAAGATGGAATGGTATAGAAGGAAAATTGGAATGTTGCAGGCCTTTTCTAATGTGTCGAATAAAATATGGGTGTTTGTAGATGAGGATCATGGTGTAGATGTAATGATTAACATGGAGCAACAGATGACTATGAAGCTGACCAACTTAGATACTCAAATATCCTTCATTGTTACTTTTGTATATGCTAGATGTGATGCCATTGAAAGGATTGAATTATGGGACAGCATGTACTATCTTGCAAGGGACATGACACTACCTTGGTTGGTTGCAGGTGATTTCAATGTTATCTGGGATGAAGAAGAAAAGTTTGGTGGATTGCCTATTTCAATGAATGAGGTGAATGACTTTAGACACTGTGTCAACACATGTAACCTTTCAGATTTAGGTTTCAAAGGCAGTATCTTCACTTGGTGGAATGGGAGAGCTGAAGATGATTGCATATTTAAAAGGCTGGACAGATGTTTGGCTAATATTGAGTTTCAACAGATGCTGCCTACAATTGAAGTTGAACATTTATCAAAAATAGGATCTGATCACAGTCCTATGTTACTAACCTGCAGTTCTGATGCTATACCAATTAAGAAGACCTTCAGATTCCTTAAATTTTTGACCAAACATCCTTCTTTCAAGGATGTGGTGAAAGAGAATTGGGAAGTGGATTTTTCTGGAGATCCATTCATACTGTTCAACCATAAATTGAAGAAATTGAAGAAAGCTTTATCAATTTGGAGTAGAGCTACATATGGGGACATATTTCAAAAGATAGCAAGTTTAGAGGAAGTGGTATTAGTACATGAAGCAGAATTTGAGAGAAATCCCTCTTATCAAAATAGGGAAAGGCTACAAAAGGTTCAAGCTGAGCTGATCAAGTACTTGGCTTTGGAGGAGGAATTCTGGAAACAAAAGGCAGGAATGACTTGGTTTCAAGATGGGGATAGGAATACTAAATTCTTCCATGCACAACTAAATGGAAGAAGGAAAAGACTACAACTTAAAAGAATACAGGATACTGCTGGAAATTGGCTAGAAGACAGTGCTTAAATAGCTGATGCAGCAGTGAATTTTTTCCAGAAACAGTTTCATGAAGACAATATACCTACACATTTTGAGATACTGGAACATGTACCTTCAATGGTGGGATATGATCAAAACTTGAATCTAATTCAGCAGCCTACAAGAGAAGAGATCAAGAAGGCAGTAATGGGGCTAAATGGTGATAGTGCAGGAGGTCCGGATGGATTTACTGGATGTTTTTTCCATTCATGCTGGGATATTATTGAGGAAGATATAGTAAATATGGTAAAAGCATTCTTTAATGGCCATGACTTACCTAGATTCATTACCCATACTAACCTAGTACTGTTACCAAAGAAGAAGGAGGTTGAAACTTTTTCTGATATGAGACCTATAAGTCTCAGCAACTTTATCAACAAGGTGTTCTCAAGAGTCATTCATGAGAGATTGGTAGGCATGCTTCCTAATCTAATTTCAGATGAACAAGCTGGATTTGTGAAGGGAAGAAGTATAGTGGAAAATATTCTCTTAACTCAAGAGATAATTACAGATATTAGATTGAGAGTTAAGGCAGGTCCTAATGTTGTAATCAAATTAGAAATGATGAAAGCATATGATAGATTATCATGGCTGTTCTTGACAAAGGTGCTGAGGAAAATGGGGTTCAGTGAAAGAGATATTGGGTTAGTATTTGGAATCATCTCCAACAATTGGTATTCTGTGTTGATTAATGGTCAACCTAATGGTTTTTTTAGATCAACAAGAGGTGTTAAGCAGGGTGATCCTTTATCACCAACACTTTTTATATTGGCAGCAGAGGCAATGTCCAGGGGTTTGAATGCACTGCACAAGAACATGCACTTTTGTGGTTTTGGACTACCTAAATGGAGCCCAAAGATTAATCATCTAGCATAAGCTGATGATACAATCATCTTCTGCTCATCTGATGATACTTCATTAAGGTTAGTCATAGGAGTACTGGCAGCATATGAAGCTGCATCTAGACAACTTATAAATAGGAGCAAATCAGTTGTATATATGCATCACTCAGCTAATGCACAGGTGGTGGAGAAAGTACAGAGGATTACAGGCATTCCAAAGCAGGAGTTCCCATTTACTTATCTAGGATGCCCAATTTATTATCTTAGAAGAATGATGGATTATTACCAAGCACTGATGACCAAAGTGATGGATAAGCTGCAGAGTTGGAAAGGAAAATTACTATCTATAGGAGGAAGAGCAGTACTTATTGCACATGTGCTACAAAGTATGCCCATTCATCTTCTTTCAGCTGTCAATCCACCAGCATATGTGATCAATCGATTGCATAAAATTTTTGCACAATTTTTCTGGTGCAATACTGTTGGTGTAGCTAGCAGACACTGGGCTTCTTGGGGCACTCTTTGTCTACCATGTGAAGAAGGGGGTGTTGGTTTTAGATCACTGCATGATATGTCAACTGCTTTGTTTTGCAAGTTATGGTGGAATTTCAGAACAAAACCTAGCCTATGGAGCTCATTTATGAGCCAGAAATATTGCAAAAAGATCAATCCTATGGTGGTACCTTGGAGAGATGGTTCTCATGTCTGGAGAAAGATGCTTGAATGTAGGGATATCATAGAACATCAAATTTTATGGCAACCTAGGATGGGATCTGCTTTGTTTTGGTTTGAAAATTGGACTGGCTTAGGTGCATTATATTTTGTGACTCCTCCAGATTTTGTATGTGATGAAACTGTTCATAACATATATGATGTGGTGCAAAATGGATGCTGGGATGAAGAAAGGATAAAGGAAATTCTGCTAGATGATCTTGCTACTCATATTGTGGAAATCATAAAGCCACCAGTGATGCATAATGTATTAGATAATCCAGTGTGGATGCTTGAAACAAGGAGAGACTTTACTGTTAGATCAGCATGGGAATATTTGAGAAAAGACAGGAGCCTTGCAATGCTTTCAAGAAAATATGGGTGAAAGGTTTACCATTCAAAATTGCCTTTTTCATGTCGAAAGTATGGAGAAACAAATTAGCACTGGATGATTTATTCAGGAGATTGGGGTATCTAATGGCCTCTAAGTGTTGGTGCTGTGTTGAACCAAGAGAAGAAACATTGCAACATGTTTTTTTCACTTCAGTTGCTGCTAAAACAGTGTGGAAATACTTCATGGAACATGCAGGAATTCCTATGGAAGGGATCACATTACATCAGACAATAACTAAATGTTGGACTGCAAATGTTGTGACTAGGTTACAGCCTATCCTGCAAGCATTACCATCAGTAATAGTATGGGAACTATGGAAGAGGAGGAATAGTTACAAGTATGGAGATGCAGTTACTGTAAGTAGGGTTATATACCAGATCTCAACAACTATGCAACCTCTTGTCAGGTCGAGGAAACCAAGTATTGAGAATGTCCCACATAGGTGGCCTGACTTAATTAAGGTAATGGAACAATTCACACCTAAGCTGCAGTACACAAAGGTTCTGTGGGAATTCCCAAAAGAAGGATGGATTAAAGTTAACACAGATGGGGCTTTGAGAGGCAATCCAGGTAGTAGTGCTATTGGATATGTGTTGAGGAATGAAGAAGAAGATATTGTGTATGCATGTGGTAAACAAATTATGGAAGGTACAAATACAGTTGTAGAGGCAAAGGCAGTGTTGGAAGCATTGAGATTTTGTGTGGAGCATGAGTATACTCTAAATGACGTTCATTCTGATTCTATGATGATTAAGAAGGTGCTTGATGGAGAATGGACTGTCCCATGGTCTATTGCAATGGAGGTTGAGGAGATCAAGATGCTGACTACCAGATGTAATGTTCTTATGACACATACATTCAGAGAGGGTAATTGTTTAGCAGACCACTTGGCAAATTATGCTTTGGATATAGGAAATATTGAGGCATATAGTTTCTGGGAGTTAGACACACAAGGGAGAAGGATTATGAATAAATATAAGATGCAATGTCCTTATATAAGAGTGAAGGTGTCAAGAAGCTAGGAGGAATGGAGGGCACAAGGTGGAGTAGCAGGAAAGGGGTTGCAGCAGACCACAAAGGAGATCACCATATTCAAATCCTTTGGGAGGAGAGTATGGGTTGGTGGTATTAGTGCAATGCACTCAGTCCAATGGGAGGAAATTAAAGGTAGATAGAAGCATAGATTCAAGGAGGAAATATACACAAGATGCCCATCTCTGCATAATTTACTGGGCACATATCAGCAATGAGAAGTACACACAGCAAGCAATAATTTACACATCTGGTGCAGTTTTGAGATTAATATGCTTGGCTGTGGAGAGATCATCTACTGGAGTGATTCAACATTCAAAAGGAATCTAACAAATCATACAGGGAGCCAGGCAGAAGTTGCAGGATATCATGTTGCTGCAGATCATCATATTCAAATCCCTTGGGAGGAGGATATGATGATCACAAAACACTTAGGGGGCCATTCACGTGGTCATTATGCTCAAATCCATTGGGAAGAGAGCATAGTGACTATTTTAACCAACTTAGTTTGTTTTTTTGCAGGTACATGGGCTTTGCTATTGTTCTATGGTGTAATGGAGATTCAATTGGTGGTATTAATGCTTAGCACTCATTCCAATGGATTAAAGTTACATCTAGACAATAGCATAAGTACAAATATCCTCAAAAGGCAAGGATTTGCATCACAGCAGCAACAACACCCAAAAAGAAAAATCAACAAGCCATATGTGTTTATAAATGCATAAAGGATGCTGACAGCAAAATTCCTTTCAATCTCAAAGGAATTTCGCTGGATGAGGCACATATGCAAACAAACAATCAGGCATAATCAGAGATATACCTTACAACATACAAGGATTCAAGCATTCATCAGGAATTCATATTCGCAGGCAAAGCAGAAATCAAAGAAGAAACAAAAATTAAATCAGAAAGAGGAAGAGAAGACTGATACTCTTAAAAAATTTTACAAAATCCATTCGCACAGTCAAGGAAATCTTAGCAGCTTGTCAGCAATTTTGACCGGAGCACCAACATGCACCACACAGAGAGATAAGCGAGGAAGGCGTTTGAGCAGTACACCCATTCTTATAGCTGGAAAACCTTTGATTAGATGCGATAGGCAAGATTCAGCTGGAATTTGTTCAGGCACAAATCATTTCCAATCAGCAGCATCAGGAAATCGATTTGCAGCAATGAGGAAGATAAACAAGAGGATAGAAAATAGCAGTATAAGGAGGAGATTCAGAGAAGAAATGGTGTACAGAGATGGGCGATATGATAGAGGCAAGTGGTCTGAAAAGGAAACAAGGAGTGTAATGACAGAAATAAATGAGCTAATATGGGTTATATCTGATGACAGCACGTGTTCAAGGAGAGAGATTAGACAAATGTGGCTAAATATGCAATATACGACGCGGGGAGTCTCTATGTCTGAAACAGGTTATAATTGTAAAAACAATACAGCGTTGAATTGGGCTGGGAAGGCTTTTGAAAAATTGGGCTAGTCGCTGGTTACACAAACTGGGCCATTTATATGGCTGTTTTTGCAAGCCAGCAAGTGGAAAGCTGAGTGCAATTTTGGATTAATGGTTCTTGTAGAGACACAATGGAAATGGGCCACTGCTGGGCCAAATAATGTGGGTTACTTGGACTGGATGGAAGCATCAATGAAGAAATGGTACACATGGGCTAGTTTTTATTTTACAAATTTATATAGTAATAATGTGATATCAATTTTGAGTATTACACTCAATTTTTATAATAGGCTATACGTAGTGATCAAATTTTATTACTTTACATTTATTAGGACTTCATGACATTTGTTTTCATTTGTTATATTAATAAAAATTAGCCCTAGGCACCTCGCCTAGTGGATTTGCAAAAAAAAAAAAAAACCCAGTGGATGTCCCTTCGGGGACATCCGATAAAATTGGAACGATACAGAGAAGATTCATGGCCCCTGCGCAAGGATGACACGCACAAATCGAGAAATGGTCCAAATTTTTTAAGAAAGAAAAAAAAACAAAAAAAAATTAGTGGATACCACCAAAGGATGTGGTGTAGTGGATGGGACTGCTCCTCCCTTAACCAGAGGTCTCGAGTTCGAGCCCTGGGTATGGAAACCATCTGTGATTGTTTGGCAACTATGGAAGAGGAGGAATAGTTTCAAATATGGGGAGGCTGTCACAGTTAGTAGAGTCATATACCAAATTTCATCAACTACGCAGTCTTTAGTAAAGTTCAGGAAGCCAGGGTTACAGAATGTTCCACATAAATGGCCAGATTTACTTAATATGATGGAGAATTATACACCAGTGCTGCAATATTCCAAAGTTCTGTGGCAATTTCCTAATGAAGGATGGATAAAAGTAAATACAGATGGGGCATCTAGGGGTAATCCTGGTAATAGTGCTATTGGCTATGTACTAAGGAATGAAGAGGGGGATATCATATATGCTTGTGGCAAGAAAATAAAGGAAGGTACAAACACATATGCAGAAGCAATGGCAATGTTGGAGGCAATGAGATACTATGTTCAAAATGACTATATACTGCTTGAAATACATACAAATTCAATGCTACTAAAGAAGGTTCTAGAAGGAGAGTGGTCTGTTCCATGGAGTGTTGCTGTAGAAGTTGAAGAAATAAAAGAGTGGATGAACAGGAGTAATGTGATTCTGTCTCATACATTTAGAGAAGGAAATAGATTAGCTGACCATTTAGCTAATTATTCTTTGGAGTCTGGGGATATTGAGGCACACAATTTTTGGGAACTGGATACTCAAGGTAGGAAAATAGTGAATGATGACAAACCAAGATGCCCATACATAAGAGTAAAAGTTGCAGGAAAATAGAAGGAGAAGGGACAACAAGGTTGAGAGGTGTTAGTACAACAATTGCAGTTAAGAATATAGACTGTTATACTCAAATCATTAGTGAGGAGAGTATAACAGTCTATCTGCAGGGGAGGAATAAGGGAACAGGAGTTAAGATCCATCTCTGTGGTCAAATTCATATGAAGAAGACTACAAAGATTCTTTTTTTAACTAACATAGTTTTCTGTTTTGCAGGAACAGGTTATATACCGATGCTGCATATATTGGTAAATTATCCATGGGTGGTATTAGCACTAGGTGCTCAGCCCCAAGATGAAATATCAATATACGACAACATGGGTAGATGGAGGACTAACAGTAGTAAGTTCAGCATTAACTACTGGAACAATGCATTCAAGACCCTGCTCAAACTATGCATCCATGCACAATATACAAAAGAAGAGCAGGAACAATCTGAAGTATACAAAACAAAATCTACAACTATGTGGAATCAGGCAAACAAATGGGTAACACAAGAATATACTGCAGAATACCAGATCCAAATCCTTTGGGAGGAGGAAATGATGGTCATCAATTTGGCAGTAAGAGCAATAGGACAAATGGTCCCTTATTGGATGCAATTGAAAGAGTGATATCAGTTATTGCAGATCATTATATTCAAATCCTTTGGGAGGAGGATATGATGATCAGAGAAGATTCAAGGGGCCACTCATGTGATCACTATGCTCAAATCCTTTGGGAAAAGAGCATAGTGATTATTGTATCTAACTTAGTTTGTTTTTTTGCAGGGACATGGACTTTGCTATTGTTATATGGTGTAATGGAGATTCAATTGGTGGTATTAATGCTCAGTATTCAGCCCAATGGATTAAAATTACATCTAGACAATAGCATAAGTACAAATATCCTCAAAAGACAAGGAATTGCATCAAAAATCAACAAGCAATATGATGTCATTAATGCATACAGGATGTTGACAGCAAAATTCCTTTCAATTTTAAAGGAATTTAGTTGGATGATGCACAAATGCAAACAAACATTCAAGCATAATCAGAAATACACCTTACAACATACATGGATTCAATCATTCATCAGGAAGTCATATTCACAGGCAAAGCAGAAATCAAAGAAAGAAAAATACATAAATCAGAAAGAGGAAGAGAAGACTGTTACTCTCAAAACATTTTACAAAATCCACTCGCACATTCATGAAAATCTGAGCAGCATTTCAGCATTTTTGAACGGAACACCAACATGCACCACCAACAGAGATAAGCAGGGAAGGCTTTTGAGCAGTACATTCACTCCCACAGCTGAACAATCTTTCACTAGATGCGATAGATCAGATTCAGCTGGAATTCGTTCAGGGACAAATCATTTTCAAGCAGCAGCAGCAGGACATGGAGTTGCAGCAATTAGGAAGATAAGCAAGAGGATAGGAGATAGTAGAATAAGGATGAGATTCAAAGAGGAAAATTTGGACAGAGATGGGCGATATGATAGAAGCAAATGGTCTGAAAAGGAAACAATGAGCGTAAGGATAGACATAAATGCGCAAATGAGGGATATATTTGGTGACAGCACGTGTTCAAGGAGAGAGAATCGACAAATGTGGCTAAATGTGCAATGTCTGACGCGGAGAGGGGCTGTGACTGAAACAGGTTATAATTGTAAATAGGATATAGTGTTGAATTGGGCTGGAATGGTTGTTGACATACTGGGCTGGTCAGTGAGAAACTGGGCTACACAAACTGGGCCATTTTATATCTGGCTACATTTGCAACTCAGCAATTGGGAAGCTGATGGCTATTTGTGCAATTCTGGATCGCTGATTTTTGGAAAGATACACTGGACATGGGCCAATTCTGCTGGGCCAATTTACACGGGCTATTTGGTCTGGATGGACGCAACAATGGAGAAATGTTACACATGGGCTAGTTTTTATTTTATAAATTTTATAGTATTAATGTGATATCAATTTTGAGTATACAACTCAATGTTGATAATAGACTATATGTAGTCGTCATATTTTATTACTTTACATCTACTAGGATTTCATGACATATGTTTTTCTTTTTATATTAATAAAAACTAGCCCTAGGCACGCTGCCTAGTGGATTTTGCCAAAAAAAAAAAAAACCCTAAACCCAAAAACCCTCCCTAAAACGAGCTCTAGAGAGAGAGGCTCTGGCGATTTTATTATTTTAGAGAGAGAAAGCTCGTGTTTATTGCTGCCATGGCCTCGCCGGCCGGCAGCCAGCCACCAACGACGGCTGGGCTGCCTCCTCCCTCTCTCGCCTAGCCCCCTACTGTCCCAAACACTAATCCCCAGCCTTTAGATTATTCTAAAATCCTCAAACCATCGACTATTAATAATACCATGCAGGAACGTGCTTCTACTGTGGAACCAATTCCATTACATCGAGCAGCTTTTGTCAATGGACAACCAATGGTGAAATTTACGGAAGCAGAAGTTGATAGAATGAACGTGATCGAGGGCCTTCAATATGCTGTGGTGGGAAAGTTTGCGTATGGATGGCCAGATTTGAACGAGATTCGTCGCATTGTCCCTTTGCAATGTGGAATAAAGGGAGAATGTAGTATTGGTTACTTGAGAGATAGGCATGTCCTTATACGTATGACATTGTGGCAGGACTTCGTTGATTTTACATCGAAAGGAGCTCAATATGTTAAGGACAAGAATGGACATGAATATCAAATTAGACCTCTTATATATGATGTGAAGTTTAAAGCAGGAGAAGAGACTCCAATGGCTATGGCTTGGATTTCCTTCCCAGGATTGTTACCTACTTATTTCGTAAAGGAGTGTCTCTTTTCTCTTGCTTCAGCTGTTGGGTAGCCCTTATATTTGGACATGGCTAAAATTAATAAGACTAGACCTAGCTGTGCTAGGGTCAAAGTTCTTGTTGACCTGTTAGCAGATCATCCTAATAAGGTAAGAATGGACATTCTTAATGAAGCATCAGGTGAAGTAAGAACTGAATGGGTTAACATTAAGTATGATATGTTACCTAAATACTGTAAGGAATGTAGACTACAAGGACATGATGATTTTGAGTGTTGGAGGATTCACCCAGAATTGTCACCTTATGATCAAGGCAAGCAGACTTCTGATAAGGTCAAGGAGCAGACTAAGGTGCAGCATAATCAACCTTTGATGATCTTGTCGAGTAGGAGAGTGGTAGGTAATGTAAAATCAAATGGAGAACAATGGAAAGATGTAAAGGATAATCGTGTGAAGAAGGCAGGAAATCAAGTGATAAATGGAAAGGAAATTGTTCCAGTCAATCAAGGGGATAGGCAGCAGGTGCATGCAACTAGGAATAATGTTAATCTTGATGCAACATCAGGGTAGGAAGTAGCAGTTGTTAATCAGCAAGATAGGGACAATGAGAGAAGACAAATTGTTTCTGTTGATGTAGGGCAACAAATACAAACTACAAACAAATTTGCAGCATTACAAGCAGAGGAAGAGGGTGATAATGGAAATCAAATGATCATTGTGGAAGCAGATGTTAGGCATGACACTCAAAGGCAGAAAGATTTGAACCCTAATGCTTCAGTTTTTATCCCTAAATCTACTGGAGTGGCTTCATCAAAGAGAGGAAATGTAGAATATGATGATGAGGAAGGAAATATAATAAAGGAAGGCTCAAATAAAGGAAAAGCAACTACTGTTCAGAAGGAAGCTACAACAGCATGGGTTAATAGAATATTTGCTGAAAAGATAGTTGCAACTAATCAATCATGCCAGGACATTCCCTCACAGGACACTGAAGTTGATGCAACTATTAAAGAAGTCAATGCTAATGAAAGACTACAAATTAGTGGAGGAAAGTTGTGGGATGCTCAAACTGAAGAAGATTCAGAGGAAGGAGAACTACCTGAAGGTGCCAGTGGTGAGGAGGAATCATCAGATGAGGAGAACGATGAAGAAGAACAAAGTGTTAATGACAAGGCTAATAAGGAATGCCAAAAATCTGAAACTAAAGGTGGAACATCTAAAGAAAATAAGGCTGATCAAGGAGAAGACATAGAAGTAATAAATCAGAAGAAGACAGGTACTGGAGATCAACCTGATCAAAAACTCATTAGTTCTAGTCCTATTAAAGAGCTGCCACCAGCTAAGCCAAACATAGAACCAGATATTCCTTTTGCTGTAGATACAGGAACTGAAGGTGTGATTATACATATAGAAGGAATTGGAGAAGAGCATGGGAAGAGTAAGGAAGATGCAGCAGGTGACAATGTCAAAAATACAAAAATGCTTCAACCATCAGATGAAGGGCAGAAAAATTCACAAAGAAGTTTGATTCCTAATCCTATAGGAAATCAAATTGAATTTCCAGTAGAGAATGAGGGTAATGCAGATAATTTGGAAGGCAAGGGCAGAGATTTAGATGCTGAATCAACATGCCAAAATTTCAGAAACATTGCAAAACAAGGTGATTTATCACCTAGGTACTTGGATAAGGGCAAATCAGTTGGAAGAGGAAAGAAGGGACAACCAAAAGAAAATGTTCAAAGTGTAGTGCCAGGGGTTCAAACTAGAAGGACCCTATCTAAATCAAATAATTGATGATGAATGCCATTATTTGGAATGTGAGATCAGTAAAGACAATGCAAGTATGTGAAAGGCTTATTACAATGCAAAAACAACATCATTTCAAGTTTATTGGAATTATGGAACCAAAGCAGAAAAAGAAGAATTTGGAAAGATACAGGAGGAGGATAGGTATGCTACAGGCTTTTGCTAATGTATCTAACAAAATTTGGGTATTTGTGGATGAGGATCATGGAGTGGAGATTATATATGACCTTGAACAACAGATGACCTTGAAGCTTACAAACTTGGATACACAAATGTCTTTTATGGTAACTTTTGTGTATGCCAAGTGTGATCCCATTGAGAGAATAGAACTGTGGGATAGCTTATACTACTTGGCCAGTGATATGTCTATCCCTTGGCTTGTAGGAGGGGATTTTAATGTAATATTGGATGAAGAGGAGAAGTTTGGTGGTTTACCTGTGTCACTGAATGAGATAAATGATTTTAGGCATTGCATTTCCACATGTAACCTCAATGATTTAGGTTTCAAAGGGAGTATCTATACATGGTGGAATGGAAGAGGGGAAGATGATTGCATATTTAAAAGGTTGGATAGATGTTTGGGAAATGTAGAATTGCAGCAGATGTGGCCTAATCTAGAGATTACTCACCTGTCCAAAACTGGATCTGATCACAGTCCAATGTTGCTGCAGTACAATCCAAATGATGTACCAATTAAGAAACCTTTTAAGTTTTTAAACTTCTGGTGTCAGCATCCAACTTTCAAGGCAGTAGTAACAGAAAACTGGAAGGCAGACTTTGCAGGAGATCCATTTTATGTATTTAATCATAAGTTAAAGAAGTTGAAAAAGGCTTTATCTATATGGAGCAAGACAACATATGGAGACATATTTCAGAAAATTGCTAGCCTTGAGGAGGTAGTATTAGTTCATGAAGCACAGTTTGAGAGGACTCCTACATCTCAGAATAGAGAAAAGACTGCAGAAAGTCAAAGCAGAATTGACCAGATTTTTAGCATTGGAGGAGGAATTTTGGAAGCAAAAATCAGGGATGGCATGGTTTAAAGATGGGGACAGGAATACTAAATTTTTTCATGCTCAAGTCAATGGTAGAAGAAGAAGACTACAGTTGAAAAGGGTGCAGAATTCTAATGGTATTTGGTTAGAAGACAGCAATGATATGGCAGATGAGGCAGTCAGATTTTTTAAGGCACAGTTTCATGAAGATCAAGTTCCAACCTGTTTTGAAATACTGGAACATATACCAACACTGATTGATAATTTGCAGAATTTGGAATTAATTAAACAACCAACTTTTGCAGAAGTAAAACAGGCAGTCTTTGGCCTGAATGGGGAAAGTGCTGGGGGCCCTGATGGTTTCACAGGTTGCTTTTTTTATCATTGTTGGGAAATAATAGTTGATGATATTGTAGAGATGGTTAAGGCATTTTTCAATGGGCATGAACTTCCCAGGTATGTGACACATACAAATTTAGTCTTGTTACCAAAGAAGAAAGAGGTTATTTCATTCTCAGATATGAGACCTATTAGCCTTAGCAATTTATTCAATAAGATCATCTCTAGAGTTGTACATGAAAGATTAACAGGTCTGTTAACAAACATTATATCTGAGGAGCAGGCTAGATTTGTAAAAGGCAGGAGTATTGTAGAAAATGTTCTGCTAACACAAGAGATCATTACAGATATCAGAATGAGAACAAAAGTTGGGCCAAATGTAGTGATTAAATTGGATATGGCCAAGGCATATGATAGATTATCATGGATATTCTTAACTAAGGTGTTGAGGAAGATAGGCTTTGGGGAAAGATTTATAGGTCTGGTATATGGTATAATCTCAAATAATTGGTATTCTGTTCTCCTTACTTGGCAGCCCCATGGTTTTTTCAAATCTACAAGGGGGATAAAGCAAGGTGATCCTGTATCACCTACTTTATTTATATTGGCTGCTGAGGCATTATCAAGGGGTCTGAATTCACTGCATAATAATGTGGACTTTTGTGGTTTTGGACTGCCCAAGTGGAGTCCAAAGATCAATCATCTTGCATATGCAGATGATACAATCATTTTTTCTTCTTCTGATGCAACATCATTAAGATTGATTATGGAAATACTAGCAGGATATGAGAAGGCTTCTGGACAACCTATAAACAAGAGCAAGTCCGCAATTTATTTACATCATTCAGCAGGGGAAGATGTAGTGGACAAAGTACAGAGAATAACAGGTATTGCCAAGAATGAATTCCCATTTACATACCTTGGTTGTCCTATTTTCTATGCTAGGAGGAGAATGAACTATTATCAGGGACTTATAACTAAGGTAATGGACAAGCTGCAGGATTGGAAAGGGAAGCTATTATCTATAGGGGGAAGGGCTGTACTAATATCTCATGTACTTCAGAGCATGCCAATACACCTATTGTCCTCAGTCAATCCTCCACCTTATGTGATTAACAAGTTACACAAAATTTTTGCCCAGTTCTTCTGGAGTAACACTGTGGGAGTTGCAAATAGGCATTGGGCTTCATGGAATACATTATGTTTACCTTGTGAAGAAGGAGGAGTGGGTTTTAGATCTCTACATGATGTATCTACAGCCTTATTTTGTAAACTTTGGTGGAATTTCAGAACTAAACCTAGTTTGTGGAGTTCTTTTCTGAGTCAAAAGTACTGCAAAAAGTTAAATCCTATGATTGTTCCTTGGAGAGATGGTTCACATGTTTGGAGAAAGATGCTGGAGTGTAGAGATATTATAGAACATCAAATATGGTGGCAGCCTCACATGGGGTCCTCACTATTCTGGTTTGAAAACTGGACAGGGATGGGATCATTATATTTTGTTACTCCTCCTGATTTTGTGTGTGATGAATCAATACATAACATATATGATGTGGTATGCAATGGTCAATGGAATGAGGAAAAGATCAGAGAGATTTTACCAGAAGAACTAGCAGAACACATTTTACAACATGTGAAGCCTCCAGGAATGATAGAGGACATTGATAAGCCTTATTGGATGCTAGAACCTAGGGGTAAATTCACTGTGAAATCAGCTTGGGCATATGTGAGAAGGAGGAATGACCCTGGCAATGCATACAGAAATATATGGGTGAAAGGGCTTCCTTTTAAAATATCTTTTTTCATGTGGAAAGTATGGAGGAATAAGCTGCCTTTGGATGAATTTTTTAAAAGACTGGGCTACCTTATGGCTTCTAAATGCTGGTGCTGTGCTGAACCACAGGAGGAGACAATGCAACATCTGTTCTATACTTCATATGCAGCAATCAGAGTGTGGAAATATTTTCTTGGACATGCAGGTATTACACTAGAAGGAATTTCATTTCATCAGGCTATTGTAAAATGCTGGACTGCAGATGTGATACATAGAATTAAACCTATAATACAAGCCTTGCCTTCTGTCATTGTATGGGAGCTTTGGAAGAGGAGGAATAGCTATAAACATGGAGATACAGTGACAGTAAATAGGGTTATATATCAGGTGCCTAATACTATGCAAAGCCTAGTGAAATTCAGAAAGCCAAACCTGCAGAATGTGCCACATAAATGGCCAGACCTGCTGTACATGTTGGAGTCTTATCTTCCCAGATTGAAATATACTAAGGTGTTATGGGAATGTCCAAAATCAGGATGGATAAAGGTGAACACAGATGGGGCATCAAGGGGAAATCCTGGGAGGAGTTCAATAGGATATGTGCTAAGAAATGAAAAGGGAGATATAGTATATGGCTGTGGAAAAGAGGTGCAGAATGGAACAAATACAGAAGCTGAAGCTAAAGCAATACTTGAAGCAATGAAATTCTGTGTTAGACATGAATATGTACTCATTGAATTGCACACTGATTCAATGATGATGAAGCATGTTATAAATGGAGAATGGGATGTACCATGGAATATAGCAGAACAGGTGGAGGAAATAAACGAACTAATGAATAGAAGCAACGTAACAGTAACTCACACTTTGAGGGAAGGAAATAGATTAGCTGATCATCTAGCTAATTATGCCTTGGACTTTGGGGATTTTGAAGCACACAATTTCTGGGAGTTAGATATACAAGGAAGGAAGATAGTTAATGATGACAAATCACAATGCCCATATATCAAAATAAGAGTTCCAGGAAACTAGAAGGAGAGGGGGCAACAAGGAGGAGAGACAGTATGCAGGCATCTAGGGTGATATCTTTTAACTGTTATAGTCAAATCAAGGTTGAGGAGACTATGATCAGTTCATTGGAGTGGGTATATATGAGATCAGGAGGCAAGATCATTCAATGGGGTCAAATCCTTAAGGAGGAGGCCACAGGAAGAAATTTTTTAACTAACAGTTTTTTCTTTTTTGCAGGTAATGTTAATGTATCCATGAGTCTTCTACTGGTAAATCAGCCATGGGTGGTATTAGCACAATGTGCTCAGCCCCAGGATGAGTTATCAGCAGGGAACATGGATACAAGGAGGATCATCAGTAGGCAGCATAATTTTCTCTACTGGAACAACAAGTACAAGAAAATGCTCAGAAGGTGCAACAAAGCAGTAGTTGCAAAGCAATACAGGGACAGTATGGAGCCCATACAAGTTAAAATGTGGGCTACAAATACAGGGAGCCAGGCAATGAGATGTGCAACACGTTATGCAGCAGAATACCAGATCCAAATCCTTTGGGAGGAGGAAATGATGGTAAGTGATTTTAACTATTTTGCAGAAAGAACTACAGGACACATGATCTCCTATTTGCTGCAACTTGAAAGGGTGGTATCAGCTCTTAGAGTTCATTCCCTTAAAGGAGCAGCAGTAGGAGATACAATCAGTGGATTAAGCTTCAAAAAAGATCATACAGTTATGCTATCTATACTTTGTATTTTTGGAAAACTCTAGGTGGTGGTATTAGTACTTAGTACTCAACCCACCGGGGAAACCTTAAATATAGAGTATAGTATAGTAACAAGGAAATCCATAGAAAGCAGGAAATACAAAGTAATGACGATAAGGGTGCTACATTCCATTACTAGCATTCTAATAATTGATAAGAATTGCAAGTCAGCACACAAGAAAGAAGGAATTCACAGAAGAAACATACCAGTAACAGAAACAACAAATAAGCAAGCTAAGATCTGGTGTCATTCTGACACACAGGTTGCAGTCAGCAAAATTTCCACTTTTAGGGAATATTTCAGCTGGTTGATGCACTTGTGGAGCAAATTAACTGAATACAATGGGGAATTAAAGGCATTACATACAGGGAGTCAGGCTAAAAAAGGAAAAATCTTCAGGTACAAAAAGGGGGCAAGTTACACATGCAATCCAAATAGAACAATCGAGGGCAATACTAGGAATAAAGGCATCACGCATGGAGCTTTGGAATCCATATCCGTCAAGGCAAGGGCAGTAGCTTGAAGGGACCATCTTCAGGCGTATAGATGTTACAATACTTCGATGCAACGGCTCCTTTCAGCTAAAATCACGAGGATACAAACAAGGATCTCTGCTAGCAAGCAAAATTGGAGAGATAAACACATGAAGAAGAAAGCTGAAGAGAACAGTTGGGGTCTCGATACACTCTATGTAAGCTACAGATATAGACCAACTGATAAAGGGAGGGCAAATGAAAGATACAGTGTAATAACGTGGACTATAAATGGTGAAGTGGAAGGCAACACGTGTATAAAGCCTAGGGAGAAATCAAAATGGCTACAAGTGCAATATAGGGAAAGCGAATGCAGAATTAATTGTGGCTGTATTTCAAAGGTCATGTTGGGTTGGGCTGCTGAGGAGTTCAACTGGGCGTCAAAATCTGGGTTAAGACACTTGCAAATGGACATAAGTGGGGCATGGATAAAAGTGAAGTGGCTATATGTGCAATATACGGATGGAAATGCTGATGGACGGTAGCTACTGTACAACGAAGAGGTGCTGGGCTGGATCTGTATGAAATGCAAATTGGGCTCAATTGTTGGGCTATTGGAACCGGACAGGGACAGCAGGAGTAATCATGATTCATGGGCTAGTTTTTATTATCCAAATATTTGTAAAAATATTGTGATATCAATTTTGAGTAGTCTACTCAATTTTGATAATAGGATCTATGTAGTTTACAAGGTTTATTTCTTTCATCATGTTAAACTCATGAACAAATTGTTTTGCCTTTATTTTATATAAATAAAAACTAGCCCTAGGCATTGCCTAGTGGATTGCTAAAAAAAAAAATCCTAAACCCAAACCCCAAACCCGACGCGTTGGAGTCTAGAGAGAGAGGCTCTGGCGATTTTTTGAGCGACTAGAGAGAGAAAGTGCCGCGATCGCTGCAAAAAAAAAAAACTAAACCCAAACCCCAAACCCGATGTGTGATCAATGAAGTTGATGACTTCAGACATTGCATAAATACATGTAACCTGAGTGATCTTGGATTTAAGGGCAGTATCTTTACATGGTGGAATGGTAGGGCAGAAGAAGACTGTATTTTCAAGAGATTAGACAGATGTTTAGCTAAATCAGAGTTTCAGCAAACTTTTCCAGGGTTAGAAGTGCAACATCTTCCTAAGATTGGATCAGATCACAGTCCAATGCAGTTAAAGTGTGATATAGAGAACCCTTCTGTGCAGAAATCATTCAGATTTCTAAATTTTTGGGTAGAGCATGCAACTTTCAAGGAGGTGGTGCAGGAAAACTGGAAGGTAGATTTTTGTGCAAATCCATACACCATATTCAATCACAAGTTGAAGAAGTTAAAAAAGGCATTATCTGTGTGGAGCAAAAAAACATATGGAGACACTTTTCAAAAGATAGCAAGCATGGCGGAGGTGGTTATTGTTCATGAAGCAGAATTTGAAGCCAATCCTACAAGGGTAAACAGGCAGAGGTTACAAAAGGTCCAAGCAGAACTTACTAGATTTTTAGCATTGGAAGAAAATTATTGGAAACAGAAGGCTGGCATGTCATGGTTTAAAGATGGTGACAGGAACACCAAGTTCTTCCATGCTCAAGTAAGAGGTAGAAGAAAGAAGTTGCAATTATCCAGAATTCAAAACAGTCAAGGTGTTTGGATAGATGATGAAACAGATATAGCTACAGAGGCAATTCAATTATTTCAGGATCAATTCTCTGAAACTACAGTACCAACAGATGGATTAAATGGAGATAGTGCTGGAGGGCCAGATGGATTTACAGGCAAGTTCTATCAGTCCTGTTGGGATATTATAGGAGGGGATCTTTATGATATGGTTAGAGCATTCTTTAATGGGCATGATCTACCAAAATGTGTGACTCACACAAACCTTGTGTTGCTTCCAAAGAAGAAAGAGGTATGTACATTCTCTGATCTGAGACCCATCAGTCTCAGTAATTTCTCCAACAAGGTGATCTCAAGAGTGATTCATGATAGGGTGGTGGGACTGCTACCTAATTGAATATCTGAAGAACAGTCTGGATTTGTTAAAGGAAGAAGCATTTTGGAAAATATTATCCTAACACAGGAGATTGTCACAGACATGAGACTAAGGACAAAGGCAGGTCCTAATGTCATCATAAAGTTAGGTATGACCAAGGTCTATCACAGATTGTCCTGGCTATTCCTGACTAAGGTTTTAAGAAAAATGGGATTTTCAGAAAGATTTATAGGCATGGTGTTTGGCATAGTCTCTAATAATTGGTACTCAGTATTAATAAATGGTCAAGCTCATGGTTTCTTCAAATCTTCAAGGGGAGTGAAGCAGGGGGATCTATTGTCCCCTACCTTGTTTATTTTAGCTGCAGAAGCATTGTCAAGGGGCCTTAATGCACTGCATCTAAACTTATACTTCTGAGGGTATGGTATGCCTAAATGGAGCCCAAAGATCAATCATCTAGCTTATGCAGATGATACTATTATTTTCTCATCATCTGATGCTACATCACTTAGGCTCATCATGGAGGTTCTTGATGCATATGAATCAGCTTCAGGGGAGTTGGTAAACAGGCAAAGTCAGCTGTATATTTACATCATTTAACAGATGCAGAAGTAGCAGATAAAGTGGAGCAGGTTACAGGAATAAAGAGGCAAGAGTTTCCCATTATATATTTGGGGTGTCCTATATTCTACTCAAGGAGGAAGATGGAATACTATCAGCCTATGATCACCAAGGTATTGGATAGACTACAATCATGGAAAGGTAAAATGTTGTCCATAGGGGGTAGAGCAGTACTTATTGCTCATGTATTGCAGAGCATGCCAATTCACTTATTATCAGCTGTCAATCCCCCTGCTTATGTGATCAATAGACTACATAAAATATTTGCCCAATTTTTTTGGAGTAGTTCAGTTACAGGCAGCAACAGACATTGGGCATCTTGGTCTACTTTATGTATGCCACAGGATAAAGGGGGGATTGGGTTTAGGTCTCTTCATGATGTAGCAACAGCCTTATTTTGCAAGTTATGGTGGAATTATAGAACCAAGCCCAGCCTTTGGAGTTCCTTCATGAGTCAGAAATATTGTAAAAAGCTAAATTCAGTGATAGTACCATGGAGAGAAGGATCTCATGTTTGGAGAAAAATGTTAGAGTGTAGAGATTTGATAGAACATCAGATTATATGGCATCCAAGAATGGTTTCCTCTTTGTTTTGGTATGATAACTGGACTGGTTTAGGGGCACTATACTTCTTGGTTCCTCAGGAGTTTGGTATTGATGAATCTGTACACAATGTTTGGGATGTGGTAGAAGGAGATGTATGGAATGCAGAAAGACTGTATGAGGTTTTACCAGAGGAATATGCAGAACACATACTTCAAAATATTATGCCACCTACAGCACATGGAGTACTTGATGTATCTAACTGGATGCTAGAACCTAAAGGATATTTCTCTGTAAAAACAGCTTGGGACTACTTGAGAAGAAGAACTGAGCCTATGACAGCATACAAGATGATATGGGTAAAGGGGCTACCCTTTAAAATTTCTTTTTTATGTGGAAGGTGTGAAGAAATAAGTTGCCATTGGATGATTTTTTCAGAAGGTTGGGCTATTTAATGGCATCTAAATGTTGGTGTTGTACAGAACCAAGGGAGGAAAATACTCAGCATCTGTTCTTCACTTCATATGCAGCAAAGAAAGTTTGGAGATATTTCCTTGGTCATGCAGGTATATCTACAGAAGGACTCACATTGCATCAAGCTATTGTTAAATGCTGGACTGCAGATGCTATTCCAAGACTGAAACCAATTATGCAGGCACTGCCATCTATTATAGTTTGGGAATTATGGAAGAGAAGAAACAGTTACAGGTATGGGGAGGCAGTCACCATTAACAGAGTTGTATATCAGATATCCACTACACTGCAGTCACTCATCAGAATAAGGAAGCTAGCAATTCAACATGTATCTAATAGGTGGCCAGACATGATTAAGTTGATGGAGCAATATACCCCTAATCTCAAATTCACTAAGGTGATGTGGGAATTCCCTGAACTAGGATGGATTAAAGTGAATACAGATGGAGCTGCAAGGGGTAATCCAGGTAGGAGTTCAATTGGATTTGTGGTAAGAGATGAACAGGGTGATGTTCTGTATGCATATGGCAAAGAAATCTCAGAAGGGACAAACACTACTGCAGAAGCAAAGGCTATTTATGAAGCATTAAAGTACTGTATACAACATGGATATGTGTTAATTGATATACACACAGATTCAATGCTCCTGAAGAATGTCATAATTGGGGAATGGAAACCACCATGGATACTAGGTACAGTGATTGATGAGATTAGAGATTTGATGAGAAGAGCAAATGTCAGAATAGCTCACACTCTCATAGAAGGTAACAAACTAGTTGATTACATTGCAAATTATGCCTTGGATGTAGGAGAATTGGAATGTCAAGGTTTTGAGGATCTAGATGTTCAAGGAAGAAGAATAGTTAACTCTGACAAACTACAATGTTCATATATTCGAGTAGCTATTTCAAGGAAATAGAGAAGGAGGGAGAAGGAAGTTCAAGGGGAAAGGAGCCAGTTAAAAGCTCAACATCTGATCACCATATTCAAATCCTGTTGGAGGAGAACATGGTGAGTTTTTTTACTAACATGTTTTTTTGTTTTGCAGGTATATTGATTGTACAGGTGACTTATATGTCAATTGAACTTTAACTGGTGGTATTAGTGCTCAGCACTCATTCCAGTGGAGGGATATTACATATAGGCACTAGTACACTGGTTTGGCAATGCATCAGGAGAATGCCCAGAAGAAGTGGGCAGGATGGAGCAGAACAACTTAAAGGATCTCATACTATAAAACTGCTCAATAAAAGAGACAACAAAATGGTACTAAAGTCATTGAAATTGTCCAGAATGTCTAAGAGAATTGGGCAATCACACAAACAAAATGGAACATGGCATACAGGGAATCAGGCAGATGAATGCAACATAAGAACTAGTTGTTGGAATACTCAAAGATTTGGTAGATACCATACCTAAATCCATATGGAGGAGGGGAATGTTAATGTGGCTTTGGTCTTTCCCTTGAACAAATCTCACTTGGTGGTATCAGTACTTTGTACTCAATCCAAGGAGAGGCATTCAAGGGAAGACACAATAGACAACAGGAGCTACAAATCAAACTTTGAAAGGGCAAGAATTAACATGCACAGAAGAAAAATAATACCAACAACAACAGAAGCAAAACAAGCAAACACATGTCACACAGAATTAGCAATCTTATCTATACTCTATGGTTTAAGGAATCCCCAGGTGGTGGTATTAGTACTACGTACTCATTCCATCGGGGTGAACTTAAGCCTAGATTATAGTAAGGCAACAGGCAAGTTTACAATGCTGGGTACAGAGATTATTGGATTCAATTGCAAATCATCACACAAGAAAGCAGGACATTATTCAGACACGCAGTCTGCAGACAACAAAGTTCTCTATTTAACAGAAGTCAGCTGGATGATGCACATGCGTAAGAAAATAGCTAAGGACAAAGGACATTTCAAGCTATTACATTCAGGGACTATTTTCATAACATTCTACAAGGTTAGTAAGATTCCAAACTTGTTGGGAGCAGTCACATACAATTCCACCAAGGCAAAGCAGGGCGATTCATCTATCAATGGCAGCTCAACTGGAGCTTGGCAACAGATGGTCTTCATAGCAACCGCAACAGCTAGGAGGGATCATCTTCAGGAACAAAGTCATCCCATCAGCATGGAGCAGTCCAATTCAAGAACATCCAGGACGATTCAACCAAGAAATGGAGCAATTAAGGACGATAGGAGCAAGAATGAGAATGACAAATTGGGAGTTGATTACCTATGTGAGCTACAGTGGGAAGGGAACAGATAAGTGGAGCTCAAATGAAACATTACTTGTAATAAAGAGATATAAGCAAGGGAACACGTGTACATTAGGAAAGCTGAGTTTGAATAGGTTATTTTTGCAAACAAAAAGAGAGGGAATTTGGGCTTATTGGTGGCTACATATGCAAGCCAGAAACACGGATGGTCTGGGCTGGGGTTTAGTTAGCGAAATTTTGGGCCTATTTAAGATATTGGGCCGGCGATTACTGGATCAAATAACACTGGGCTGAGCGTTGATGCAAGGGACAATTAGGAGACCAATGTGGCTAAATTTGCAAGTTGAGGAGATTGGAATCATGGGAGTAAATTGTGGTTATTTCTGCAAATCACCAACACTTTTGAAGGGGGTTGATCAAGACAGTGACGGGCCAGTTCCTTGGGCTTTTCAGGAGATTTTTCATTGGGCTAGTTTTTATGCAATGCTTATTAGGATTTTTGTGATATCAATTTTGAGTACTATGCTCAATTTTGATTATAGGATTTATGTAGAATTCACTTTTATTTTGTACACTTGTTAGGATTTCATGACACTTTATTTATGTTTTACATTTATATAAATAAAAACTAGCCCTAGGCTCCGCCTAGTGGATTGCTTCAAAAAAAAAACCCGATGCGTTGGAGTCTAGAGAGAGAGGCTCTAGCAATTTTTTGAGCCACTAGAGAGAGAAGGTGTCGCGATTGCTGCCATGGCCAATTTGGCCGGCGGCCAGCCATGTTTTCCGGCTGGTCAGCCTCCTCCAATGTCTACCCAACCCCCTACTACAACAAACAACAATTCCCAACCATCTAATCCATCTAACGATAATCCAGCTCCCATGAACTACGTCAAAGCAGTAAAACCTACATTAAATAACACTGCCATGCATGAGCAAGCAGCAGTTATTGAACCAATTGCGCTTAGAAGAGCTACATTGCATCAAGGACAACCTTTGGTTTGTTTTACTGAAGCAGAAGTGGAACGCATGAATGTGATCGAAGGTTTGCAATACGCTGTGGTATGTAAATTCTCATACGGATGGCCTGAGCTTAATGAACTACGTCGAATTTTGCCTATACAATGTGGGATTAAAGGTGAGTGCAATCTAGGCTTTTTACGTGATAGGCATGTGTTAGTTAGATTAACATTATGGCAGGATTTTATTGAATTTTCATCAAAGGGAGTTTACTATGTCAAAGACAAATTTGGAGATGAGTACCAGCTTAAAACATTGATATATGATGCTAAGTTTAAAGTTGATGAGGAGACACCAAAGGTTATTGCATGGATATCATTCCCAAATTTATTGCCAACATACTTTGTTAAGGAATGTTTGTTTTCACTAGCTTCAGCAGTTGGTAAGCCTATACATCTTGATCAAGCTACTGTGAATAAAACCAGGCCTAGCTGTGCTCGTGTGAAAGTTCTGGTGGATTTAATGGCAGATCTTCCTAAGAAGGTGCGTATGAATATTGTGAATGAGAATAATGGGGAACTAAGAACAGAGTGGGTGAACATAAAGTATGATTACCTCCCTAAATACTGCAAGGAGTGCAAGCTTCAAGGTCATGACATGTTTGAGTGTTGGAGACTACACCCTGAACTGATGAGTAATAGAAGGGAAGAACAGCAAATGGACAATCGCAAAAAATCTAATGGAATCAAAGAAAAGAGTAAAGATGAGGCACCTTTGATTATTTTATCAAGTGGTAAGGTTGTGGGCAATGTAGGTTCTCAATGGAAGGAGGTAAGAGATAAACGAGTTCAAGCAAAAGATAAACAAGGAGGTGAAGGTGGTAAAACTGGGAAAGAAATTGTACATGTAGAAAGACAGAATATTAATGTTCCTCAACTGGTGCAGACAACTAATAAGTTTGCTTTGCTTGAAAATACAAGCAGTGAAGATAATGAGAATAAGCAATTGGCAATAGTAGAGGAAGAGGATGGGCAGAAGGAAATGGAGAAACAAAAAGAAAGGGGAAATCTGAACCCTGCAGCTCCAGTATTTGTTCCTAGATCACCTGGGAAAACCAAAAGGAATAATGGAAATCACAAGAAAGATGAGGTAGGAAAACAAAGTGGGATGAAGCAGGCCCAGCTGGTAGTGCAACTCCAGCAGGTATCACCAAACAAAAAGAGAAGATGGAACAGAAAAGAAAGGAGAAAAATGACTATGAGCAGCAAATTAAGGAGTCTACTGCACAATGGGTACAAAGGGCTTTCAATGGAAATATAGTGGCAATCAATACATCAGTTCAAGAGGTACCATCACAGGACACTAGAGTGGACTTAGCACTTGAAAAGAACATTGAACAAGAAATTCTAGATGATTCAGAGGTAGAATTTTTCAAGAGCAATGAACATATCAAATGGAAGGGTGGAAAATTATGGTCAGAACAGGCAGAAGAGGATGCAGAAGAGGGAATAATACCAGATGTATTGCATAGTGAGGAAGAAACTGGAGGTGATCACAGAGATGAGGAGGATCAAAGTGTGAATGGGAAAGCAAAGGAAACCAAAATATCAGAAGAACAAGGAACTACAGATGTAGAAGGTGATGGCAATGTGCAGGAGAAAAACAAGGAATTAATAGTTTCCAATGAGGAGACAAATGCAGAAGCAGAGGCACCTAAACAAGCAGATGCTACACTCATTGATCCAGGAGGAACAACTAAAGATAAATCAGTTACTCCTGCTGTCAAGATGAAAGAAACAGAAGAGTTAAAACAACAAGTGAAAGCAGATGCTAGTAAATTACTGAATGAAGAACAGATACAAGCTCAGAAAGTTGATGAACAACAATCAATGATTCCAACACAGCATAACAATATGGTGATGCAGGCAGCAGAAAGAAGAGAGGGTGCAGGAAGGGATCATGTTGGCAAAGATATGGATGAAGAATCTACAGCTCAAAACTTCCTCAATGTTGCAAGGCAAGGAGACTTATCTCCTAGGCACATTGATCAAGTTAAATCTGCAGCAAAAGGTAGAAAGAAACATCAAAAAGATACTCCAGTTGTTCCAGCAGGTGGGGTTCAAACAAGAAGAACTGTGTCTAAATCCCTTAATCAGTGATGGATGCCATTATATGGAATGTAAGATCTGTAAACACTATGCAGGCATTTGAAAGTCTGATTCTCATGCATAGACATCATCACTTTGAGTTTATAGGAGTTATAGAACCTATGCAACAATCTAACGAAGTTGAGAAGTACAGAAGTAAAATAGGAATGGCACAGGCAGTGGTTAATGTTTCAAATAAAATATGGGCTTTCATAGATGAAGTTTTTGAAGTGACCATTCTTTATAATATGGTGCAACAGCTGACATTAAGACTCTTTCACACTGAAACCCATGTGGAGCTTATTCTCACATTGGTTTATGCCAAATGTGATGCAATTGAGAGGATAGAACTTTGGGATTCTTTGTATGCAATGGCTGCAGATATGACATCTCCATGGCTAGTTGGAGGTGATTTCAATGTCATATGGGATGAAGAAGTAGATGATTTTAGACATTGCATCAACACCTGCAGTTTATCTAATTTGGGATTCAAAGGAAGCATCTTCACTTGGTGGAATGGGAGATCTGAAGAGGATTGTATATTTAAGAGGCTTGATAGATGCCTGGGAAACTCAGAACTGCAGTAAACATTCCCAGGTCTAGAGATTACACATCTGTCCAAGATTGGATCAGATCATTCTCCTATGCTTTTGAAGTGTGCTCTTGAGGTGGTCCTTATTAGGAAACCTTTCAGATTCCTGAATTTCTGGACCAAACATGACTCATTCAAATCAGTAGTTAAAGAAAATTGGCATGCAGACTTTGCTGCAAACCCCTTCATTTTGTTCAACTACAAACTGAAAAAGCTCAAAAAGGCACTATCTACTTGGAGTAAAGCTACATTTGGAGACATTTTTCAGAAGTTAGCAAGCTTAGAAGAAGTTGTACTAGTACATGAGAGGCAGTTTGAGGCAGTCCCTACACAGATGAATAGAGAAAGGTTGCAAAGGGTTCAAGCAGAAATGATCAGATACCTTGCCTTAGAGGAAGAGTTTTGGAAGCAAAAGGCAGGTATGGCATAGTTTAAAGATGGGGATAGAAATACCAAATTTTTTCATGCTCAAGTAAGAGGAAGAAGAAAAAGGCTACAGTTGAAAAGGATCAAAAATAACATGGGGAACTGGATTGAGGAAGAGGAAGAAATTGCAGAAGAAGCAATCAATTTTTATAAAGATCAATTTACTGAATCTGCAGTACCTACATCTTTTCATATCATTGACCATGTCCCTAAAATGATTGAGGAAGCTCAGAATGCAAAACTAGTTGCAATGCCTACAAAAGAGGAAGTAAAGAATGCAGTATATGGGTTGAATGGAGAATCAGCTGGTGGACCTGATGGTTTTACTGGGGCCTTCTATCACTTTTGCTGGGATATTGTGGGAGAGGACATATATGCAATGGTCCTTTCATTTTTCAGTGGTCAGCAATTGCCAAAATGTGTGACACACACAAATCTAGTTCTTCTGCCTAAGAAGAATGAGGTCACCACTTTTTCAGACTTCAGACCTATCAGTCTAAGCAACTTCATCAATAAGATTTTTTCTAGGGTGGTCCATGAGAGGTTGGTGGAGTTATTACCTAATTTGATCTTAGAAGAACAAGCTGGTTTTGTAAAGGGCAGAAGTATAGTGGAAAATGTTTTACTAACTCAGGAAATAATAACTGATATCAGACTTAGAACAAGAGCAGGACCTAATGTGGTGATTAAGTTGGACATGACAAAGGCCTATGACAGGTTGTCATGGCTGTTTCTAACAAAAATGCTAAGGCAGATGTGATTTTGTGAAAGATTCATTGGATTGGTCTTTGATCTGGTAGGAAACAACTGGTACTCAATTCTCATAAATGGACAGCCTAGAGGTTTTTTCAAATCATCTAGAGGTGTAAAGCAGGGAGATCCTTTGTCTCCAACTTTGTTTATACTGGCGGTTGAAGCTTTGTCAAGAGGGCTCAACTCACTACATTCAAACCTATTATTCTGTGGGTTTGGATTACCTAAATGGAGTCCCAAAATTAACCATTTAGCATATGCTGATGACACCATCATATTCTGTTCATCAGATGATACTTCTCTCAGATTGGTGATGGAGGTACTACATGCTTATGAGGCAGCATCAGGTCAACTTGTCAATAAGAGTAAGTCAGCCATTTATATGCATCACTTAACTGAGGAAGAGGTGGTTGCAAAAGTTGAGAGAATAACAGGTATTAGTAGGCAGGAGTTCCCATTCACATACCTAGGATGTCCAATTTTTTATGCAAGAAGGAAGCTGGAGTACTACCAACCTATGATCAACAAAGTGCTAGACAAACTGCAGAAATGGAAAGGCAAATTGCTCTCAATTGGTGGAAGGGCAGTACTGATAGCAAATGTACTGTAGAGCATTCCCATTCACCTATTATCAGCTGTAAACCCTCCTAACTATGTCATTAATAGGTTACACAAAATTTTTGCACAGTTCTTCTAGAGTAGTGCAGTAGGGGGAACAAGCAGGCATTAGGCCTCTTGGACAAATCTATGTATGCCACATGAAGAGGGAGGAATAAGCTTCAGATCCTTACATGATGTATCCAAAGCCTTGTTTTGCAAATTATGATGGAATTTCAGGACAAAACCAAGCTTATGGAGCTCTTTTGTAAGTCAGAAATACTGCAAAAAGTTTAATGCAGTAGTGGTCCCTTGGAGGGAAGGCTCTCATATTTGGAGGAAAATGTTAGAGTGTAGAAATATCATTGAGCATCTAATCATTTGGAAGCCAAGGATGGGATCATCCTTGTTTTGGTTTGATAATTGGACTGGGATGGGAGCTTTATATTTCCTAGTGCCACAGAACTTTGGAGTAAATGAGAACATTCACAATGTTTTTGAGATGGTTCATAATGGGAGCTGGAATAATAATAGACTGATGGAGGTACTTCCTGAAGAGTTGGCAATGCACATAGTTGATAAAATCAAACCACCAGTTTAGGTAAATGTGTTAGATTCCCCATACTGGATGCTAGATCCTAAAGGAAATTTCAGTGTAAAAACTGCATGGGAATACTTAAGGAGAAGAGATGATCCTAAGGAAGCTTACAAGAAAATTTGGGTGAAAGGCCTGCCTTTTAAAATTGCTTTCTTTATGTGGAAGGTTTGGAGGGCCAAACTTCCACTTGATGACTTTATAAAGAGATTAGGATACAGCATGCCCTCTAGATGCTGGTGCTGTGCTGAGCCAAAAGAAGAAACTTTGATACACCTATTTTTTACATCTAAGGCTGCAGTTGTAGTATGGAAATACTTTCTTAGGAGAGCAGGAATAGCAGTGGAAGGATTAACTTTGCACCAAGCCATTATGCAATGTTGGACATCTCAGGTAATACCAAGGATTAGGCCAATTATGCAGGCATTACCAGCTTGTATTGTATGGGAACTGTGGAAGAGAAGGAACAGCTTGAAATATGGGGAGCTTGTAACAGTCAGTAGAGTAATTCATCAAATATCAACTAATCTGCAGAGGTTAGTTCAAGTAAGAAAGCCAAGTATTAGAGTCCCTTATAGATGGCAGGAGTTATTATCAACTCTTGAAAACTATACCCCTAGGCCAAAGGTAGACAATGTGACATGGGAGATGCCAACAACAGGGTGGTTAAAGGTGAACACAGATGGTGCATCAAGAGGGAATCCAGGTAGAAGTTCTATTGGTTTCTGTGTGAGGGATGAAAGGGAGATCTGAGATATGCAGTAGGGAAGGAAATTGCAGAAGGCACTAATACTGAGGCAGAGGCAATAGCTATAGTGGAAGCATTAAGATTTTGCAAGTCTCAGCACTACACTCAAATATGGCTGCAGACTGACTCCATGATGTTGAAAAATATTATAGAAGGAACTTGGAAGCCACCTTGGGGAATCATTGAATACCTTGAGGAGATTGAGACACTACTGGAAGGGCTGAATTGGAGAGTGTCACACATTTTTAGAGAAGGGAACAAATTGGAAGACTATTTAGCTAACTATGCTCTTGATTCAGGAGATATAGAATGCTTTGAATTTTGGGATCTTCATTCACATGGGAGAAGGCTAATCAATGAAGACAAGCTGCAATGTCCAAATCTGAGAGTCAAAGTTGCAGGGAATTAAGAGGAGAGAAGGAGATGTAGGAGGGTCAAGGAGCTAATTTAGGGAATCATCACACTCAAATCTGCATAGAGGAGAGTATGGTGATGCAGTTTTTTTCTAACATTGGTTTCTTTTTTGCAGGTAGGAGCTTGGTATCTATGGCATGTCATGTATATCATCTCCTTAGGGTAGTATTAGTATTTGATACTCAGTCCCTAGGAGATGAAGACAAGGCATACATAGATACCTATCTTTGAAGGGTACTAAAATCATTGAAATTGCCCAGAAAGTCTAAGAGAATTGGGCAATCACATAAACAAGAAGGAACTTGGGATACAGGGAATCAGGCATATGAAGGCAAATGAGAATCAGCTGTTGGAATAGCCAAAGGTCTGGCAGATACCATCCCCAAATCCTTATGGAGGAGGGGACTGTTAATGTGGTTTTGGTCTTTCCCTTGAACAAATCTTACTTGGTGGTATCAGTACTTTGTACTCAATCCAAGGAGAGGAATTCAAGGGAAGGCACAATAGAATATAGGAGTCATAAATCAAACTATTATAAGGCAAGATTTCACATGTTCAGAATTCAAGCAACACCAATAACGTCAGAAGTAAAGCAAGCAAATATATGTCACACAGATGTAGCAATCCTATCTATAATCTATGGTCTAAGGAATCCCCAGGTGGTGGTATTAGTACTATGTACTCATTCCATCGGGGTGAACTTAAATCTAGATTATAGTAAGGTAACAAACAAGGCTACAATGCTGAATACAGAGTCTATAGGATCCAATTGCAAAGTATCACACAAGAAAGCAGGATACTATACCCATAAAAGCAAGACAATAACAACAGACACAAAAAACAAGCAAGCACGGCTATGAGGACATTTAGTCAAACATTCTGCAGACAGTAAAATTCTCACTTTGAGAGAGTTTAACTGGATGATGCACATGGATAAGAAAATAGCTAAGGACAAGGGGAACATTAACGAATTACATACAGGGACTATTCTTATAACAATATACAAGGTTGGGGAGATTACAAACTCGATTGAAGCTGTCACATACAATTCCACCGCTGCACAGCAGGGCGATTCACTGGTCAACGGCATCTCAAATGGTTCGCAATATAGGGTCTTCATAGCAGTTGCAGCAGCTAGGAGGGACAATCTTCAGGATCAAAGTCACTTCACCAACACGAAGCAGTGCGATTCAGGTACATCCATGACGATTCAACCAAGAAATGGAGTAATTAAGGTTGATTGGAGCAAGAATGAAGAAGACAGAATGGGTATGGAAGAGAAGATATGGGGAGTTGATGATACCTATGTGAGCTACAGTCAGAAGCGAATGGACAAAGGGAGTACAAATGAAGAGATATGTGTAATAAAGAGGTATATACAAGGAAACACGTGTACATTAGGAAAGCTGAGAGTGAAGAGGTTATATTTGCAAATACAAGGAAAGGGAAGCTGGGCTAATTGGTGGCTACTTATGCAAGCCGGTAATTCTAATGGACTGGGCTGGATATTGGGCCTAGATATGAAATTGGGCTGTCCTGAGAAACGGACGACATTGCTGGCCATAGTAACGCTGGGTTGGGTGTTAAGCAATGGGCATTTATGAGATCAAAGTGGTTACATTTGCAATTTGAGGAGATTGGAGACATTAGAGTAAGCAGTGGCTATTCTTGCAAATCAGTAACGATTTTCAACTGGACTGATACAGGCCATTTTGGGCCAACAGACGCGGATCACAAAGGCGTACAAAAATGGGCCTTTTCTTGGGCTTGTTTTGATGCATTTTTTAGTAGAATTCTTGTGATATCAATTTTGAGTATAATGCTCAATTTTGATAATAGGTCTTATGTAGAATTCAATTTCTATTTCGTACATTCGTTAGGATTGCATGACACTTTGCTTGTTTGTTATTTATATATATATAAATAAAAACTAGCCCTAGGCTATGCCTAGTGGATTGCTTTAAAAAAAACAAAAAAAAAACTAAAATCTAGACTCTATATTTTAAGGAAACCTCAGGTGGTCATATTAGTACTAGGTACTCAGTCCATCGGGGAAGAATTAAAATTAGAGTTTAGCATAGTAGCTAGGAATTTCATGGACAGTAAAAAATACATACTACCACAGGTGGTTGCAGAATATCACAGGCACAGAAGAAAGGCAATATCAGTGCACATAAAAGCAAAACAACAAAACACATGGGGTCATATATGTACACAGAATGCAGACAGCAGAATTCTCATTCTAGGAGAACTCAGCTGGATGATGCATCTGTGTTTCCAGGTCTTTCCCTTGAACAAATCTTACTTGGTGGTATTAGTACTTTGTACTCAATCCAAGGGGAGGAAGGCAAGGGAAGATACAGTACAAGGTAATCAAACAACACCAACAATCACAATAGCAAAGCAAGCAAATTCATGGAGTCACACAACTTTAACAATACTATCTATACTCTATGGTTTAAGGAATCTCCAGATGGTGGTATTAGTACTTTGTACTCATTCCATCGGGGTGAAATTAAACCTAGAGTATAGTATGGTGAAAAGGAAGGTCACAGTTTTGAATAAAAAGACAATAGGATCCAATTGCAATTCATCATACAGGAGAGCAGGATACCACATGCACAAGCGAAAGACAATAACAACAGACCCAAAAAACAAACAAGCAAGAATTTGGAGTCAATTAGACACACAGATTGCAGACAGCAAATCTCCCATCTTGGGAGAATTTTGCTGGATGATTCACATTTCTAAGAAAGGAACAAATTAACAAAGGGGATTTCAAAACATTATATACAGAGACTATCCTCATGAAAATCTAAAAGGTTAGTAGGATTACAATTTTGGTGGAAGCAGTCACATACAATTCCTCCAAGGCAAAGCAGAGCTTATTATTGCTCAATGGCAGCTTGAACGATTCTTGGCAACCTTTGGTCTTCACAGCAATTACACAGGAGGGGAGGGACCATCCTCAGGAACAAAGTCAGCTCAGCAACATGACACAGCTCGATTCAGGTACAAATAAGTTGATTCAGCCAAGGAGTGGAGTAGGTAAGGAAGATTGGGGGAGGACTGAAGAAGAGGAAAGGGGTGTTGAAGAGAACTTAGGGGAAATCGATGTTATCTATGTGCGGTACTGTCAGAAGGGAAAGGATAAGTGGAGTACAAATGAAGAGATACATGTAATAAAGAGGTATATCCAAAATAACACGTGTAAATGGATACAGCTGTATTCCAAGTGGCTAAATCTGCAAACACAAGTATATGGAATTTGGGCTCATTGGTGGCTAATTTTGCAAATCAGTAGCGCCAGTGTACTGGACTGGGGAGCTTTGGAAATGGGCGATAATATGGGCTTACTGGGTTGGGCAGTTGCACATTGGAGATTTTTTTGGACCCAATATGGCCTTTTTTCCCATGGTTTAGTTGGGCCAGGGATTGCAGCGCTGGATTGGGCTGCTATGCAGTGGGCAAAGATGCAAGCAATGGGGCTAAAATTTCAATTTGAGGAGCTGGGAAATATTACAACAAGTTGTGGCTATTCGTGCATATGGGCTGCTGCAATTCGCACTCACATTGGGCCAGCAGAAGCAGATCAAATAGGCGTACAACATTGGGCTAGTTTTTATGCAATTCTTAGTAGAATTTTTGTGATATCAATTTTGAGTACAATGCTCAATTTTGATAATAGGACATATGTAGAATTCTTTTTTATTTTCGTACAATTATTAGGATTTCATGACACTTTGTTTGTTTTTTATATATATAAATAAAAACTAGCCCTAGGCTCTGCCTAGTGGATTATTAAAATAAAAAAACCCTAAGACGAGGAAGCAATGGTAGAAAAAAGAAGACAATTGTAATGCCAGCTACTAATGCAAATCCAGCAGGAATTGACAAACAAAAGGAAGTTGAGGCAACAAAGAACAAAGACCAAGGTCATAATGATCTCAATGCAAAGGAAACTACTGCAGCATGGGTACATAGAGCTTTCAAGATTAGTGAAGTTGCAATGAATACTTCAATTCAAGAGGTACCATCCCAAGATACTATGGTAGAGGCTGATCTTGCAAAGAATAACCCTGAGGAAAACATAGTGGACATAGATTTTGAAATATTCAAAAACAATGAAAAAGTTAAGTGGAATGGAAGCAAACTATGGGCAAATCAGGCTGAAGAGGATGCAGAAGAGGGGACAATTCCAGATGTCATGCACAGTGATGAGGAGATTGGTGGAGATGAAATGGAGGAGGAAGATCAAAGTGTGAATGGTAAGGCTAAGGGTGTAGGATCCTCAAATGGCCAAAAAATTACCAATGATCAAGTGGAAAACAAGTATCAACAAATTGACAATGGGGAACAAAGCAACAAGGTAAATGTACAAAATGCAGCAGAGACAAATAGGCAGGAAATTGAAGGAACAAAACACAAGAAGGAGGCAATGCAGATGGTTCAAAGGAACAGGAGGAAACAGCTATTCAACATGGTGGTGAAAATGCTGCAGAGGTGGAATTAGCCAAGGAAGTGAATATCAATATCACAGATCCAGGGGGAACAGATCAAAAGGCAGAAGAGAGAAAGGACAATGATATTACAATAACAGGTGAGAAAGCAGAAGGGGACAACAAGAAGATGAATAAGGAGCTAACAGGAACCTCTGTTCTATCAGTTCTTGTAGTGGTCTAGGTGGTTAAAAAACAAGTTGATCATGCAATAATTCCTAACATTCAGGCTACTACTATGGTAGCTACAGATAAAAGAAAAAATATAGGTGCACAGGATGGTGATGCAGGCACTGATATGGATGAGGAATCTACTGCACAGAATTTCCTAAATGTAGCTAGACAAGGGGATTTATCACCAAGACAAATAGAGCAAGTCAAATCTGCAGCTAAGGGTAGAAGGAAGCAGTCAAAGGAGACATCAACTGTTCAAGCAGGAGGAGTACAAACAAGGAGAACTTTGTCCAAAAATCAAAATCTTTAATATGGATGCCATCATTTGGAATGTGAGGTCTGTTAACACTCAGCAGGCTTTTGAAAGATTGATTACAATGCATAGACAACACCACTTTGAATTCATATGGATTTTAGAGCCTATGCAGCAAGCAGGAAAACTTGAGAGGTATAGAAGAAGAATTGGTCTGGCACAGGCAGTGGTTAATATCTCAAACAAAATCTGGGCTCTCATAGATGAGGTTTTTGAAGTGACAATACTATACAATATGGTCCAGCAGCTGACTTTAAGATTGTTTCACACTGAAACACATGTGGAACTAATTCTGACTTTGGTATATGCCAAATGTGATGCAATAGAGAGAATTGAATTATGGGATTCTCTATGCTATGGCTAGTGATATGACAGTCCCTTGGCTTGTTGGGGGTGATTTTAATGTGATTTGGGATGAAGAGGAGAAGTTTGGTGGTCTACCTGTACACATCAATGAAGTTGATGATTTCAGGCACTGTATTAACACCTGCCACCTGACAGACTTGGGTTTTAAAGGAAGTATCTACACCTGGTGGAATGGAAGATCAGAGGAGAATTGCATTTTTAAAAGGTTAGACAGATGTTTAGGTAATATGGAGCTGCAGCAAACTTTCCCTGGTTTAGAGGTGACTTACTTATCAAAAACAGGTTCTGATCATTGCCTAATGCTGTTAAAATGTGACATTGAATCCTCTCCCATTAAGAAATCTTTCAGATTTCTTAATTTCTGGACAAAACATGATTCATTCTTGGAAGTAGTGAAGGAGAACTGGTCTGCAGATTTTAGTGCTAATCCATTTGTACTCTTCAACTACAAGTTGAAAAAACTCAAAAAAGCACTATCAGTTTGGAGTAGAGCTACATATGGTGACTTATTCCAGAAGATTGCAAGTTTAGAGGAGGTAGTATTGGTTCATGAAAGACAATTTGAAGTCAACCCTACTCAGATGAACAGACAAAGACTGCATAAAGTTCAAGCTGAAATGATCAAGTATCTTTCTTTGGAGGAGGAATTTTGGAGGTAGAAATCAGGCATGATGTGGTTTAAGGATGGTGACAGAAACACCAAATTTTTCCATGCTCAAGTTAATGGGAGAAGGAAGAGATTGAAGCTTACCAGGATTCAAAACGGTAGAGGTAACTGGATAGAAGAAGAAGAGCTAATTGCAGAAGAGGCAGTAAATTTTTATAGGGAGCAATTCACAGAAAGTTCAACACCTACTGACTTTAGTATTCTTAATTATGTTCCTGCTATGGTAACTACTGAAGAAAATGAGAGGTTGATGGCACTACCTACTGCACAGGAAGTAAAGAGAGCAGTTATGGGATTGGATGGGGAATCTGCAGGTGGCCCTGATGGATTCACAGGGGCCTTTTATCATAAATGCTGGGACATAATTGAAGCTGAAGTGGTTGACATGGTGAAAGCTTTCTTCTGTGGTCAGCAGCTTCCTAAGAGTGTGACTCACACCAATTTGGTATTATTATAAAAAAAGGAGGTTCAGACCTTTGCAGATATGAGACCTATCCGTCTCAGCAATTTTGTGAACAAGATCTTTTCCAGAGTGATTCATGAGAGACTGGTTGAAATGTTACCTAATTTGATCTCAGAGGAGCAGGCATGTTTTGTGAAGGGAAGAAGCATAGTAGAGAATGTTCTCCTAACTCAAGAAATCATCACTGATATAAGGCTTAGAACAAAGGCAGGTCCAAATGTGGTCATTAAGCTTGACATGGCAAAAGCATATGATAGATTATCATGGCTTTTCTTGACCAAAATGCTGAGGCAACTGGGATTCTGTGAAGCTTTTATTGGTATGATCTTTGATTTAGTTAGAAACAATTGGTATTCTATCCTTATTAATGGTCAACCAAAAGGCTTTTTCAAGTCTTCAAGGGGAGTTAAACAAGGTGACCCTCTATCACCTACATTGTTCATTCTAGCTGCAGAAGCACTATCAAGAGGTCTGAATTCTCTACACTCTAATTTATACTTCTGTGGATTTGGATTACCAAAGTGGAGCCCAAAAATAAATCACCTATCCTATGTTGATGACACTATAATTTTCTGTTCATCTGATGCTACTTCCTTGAGGCTTGTTATGCAAATGTTGCATGCATATGAGGCAGCTTCTGGGCAGCTAGTAAATAAGGCAAAATCTGCCATATATATGCATCATTTAACAGATCCTGAAGTGGTTAGTAAGGTGGAAAGGATCACAGGTATAGGAAAACAAGATTTCCCCTTCACCTACTTAGGTTGTCCAATCTTCTATGCAAGAAGGAGAATGGATTACTATGAAGGTTTGATCACTAAGATCATGGATAAACTACAATCTTGGAAAGGCAAACTTCTTTCAATAGGTGGTAGGGCTGTCCTAATTACCAATGTGCTTAAGAGCATGCCAGTTCATCTCTTGTCAGCAATGAATCCTCCAAATTATGTCATCAATAGATTGCACAAAATTTTTGCAAGATTCTTTTGGAGTAGCAATGTGGGGGGAAATTCTAGACATTGGGCTTCATGGACTAACCTTTGTATGCCTTATGAGGAGGGAGGTATAGGTTTCAGATCACTGCATGATGTTTCAAAGGCTTTATTTTATAAATTATGGTGGAATTTCAGGACAAAGCCTAGTTTGTGGAGCTCCTTTATGAGTCAGAAGTATTATAAGAAGCTTAATGCAGTCATAGTTCCATGGAGGGAAGGGTCACATGTGTGGAGAAAGATGTTGGAATGCAGGGACTTGATTGAACATCAAATATACTGGAAGCTAAGGATGGGATCTGCCTTATTCTGGTATGATAACTGGACTGAGTTGGGAGCATTATACTTTCAACTTCCTCCAAATTTTGCTATAGAGGAAGATATTCAGAATGTTAATGACCTGGTACAAGATGGAAGATGGAATATGGAGAGAATTCATGAGATCTTACCAGCAGACTTGGCACATCATATAGTACAAAACATTAAGCCACCCATGGAACACAATGAATTAGACAAACCATTCTGAATGCTTGAAACAAGAGGTAACTTTTCAGTTAAGTCTGCATGGGAATACTTGAGAAGAAGAAATAACCCAAGCATTGCCTATAAGAAGATTTGGGTAAAAGGATTGCCTTTCAAGATTTCTTTTTTCATGTGGAAGGTGTGGAAAGCCAAACTACCACTAGATGACTTTATGAGAAGATTAGGATATTTCATGCCCTCTAAATGTTGGTGTTGTACTGAGCCTAAGGAGGACTCACTGGTTCACTTATTTTACACATCTAATGCAGCTAGAATTGTATGGAGATACTTTCTCAGGAGGGCAGGAATTGCAGTGGAAGGCATATCATTACACCAGGCAATTACAAAATGCTGGGTTGCACCAGTTATTACTAGAGTGAAGCCAATAATGCAAGCATTGCCAGCATGTATTGTCTGGGAGCTATGGAAGAGGAGAACCTATTTGAAGTATGGGGATGCTGTGTCAGTAAGCAGGGTAATTTACCAAGTCTCATCATCATTGCAGAAGTTGGTACAGGTAAGGAAGCCAGGTTTCCAGGTTCCTCATAGGTGGTCAAACCTTTTGCAAATGCTGGAACAATATACACCAAGTTTGAAGCATGAGAAAGTGATATGGGAATTTCCAGAAGCTGGTTGGATAAAGGTTAACACTGATGGAGCATGTAGAGGTAACCCAGAGAGAAGCTCTATTGGTTTTTGTTTAAGAGATGAAGCAGGGGATATAAAATATGCACAAGGGAAGGAGATCATAGAGGGAACAAATAATGAAGCTGAAGCAACAGCAATTTTAGAGGCCTTGAGAATATGCAGAGCTATGAATTATAGTCAGATATGGCTGCAGACTGACTCAATGCTTATGAAAAACATAATCGAGGGATCATGGAAGCCTCCCTGGTGTATTGTTGATCAGGTAGATGAGATTCTGAGGATGAAAGGAGAATTTAACATCAGAATATCACATACATTCAGGGAAGGTAACTATTTAGCAGATCATCTTGCAAATCATGCTTTGGATGTGGGAAATATAGAATGTTATGGATTTTGGGATCTGGACTCTCAAGGTAGAAGGTTGGTGAATGACGATAAGATGCAATGTCCTGTTTTAAGAGTCAAGGTTGCAAGGAATTAAAAGAAGAAAAGGAGGTTGGGGGAGAAAGAGAAGCAGGAGCTAATGCTGGCATCTCTCATGCTCAAATCTATATAGAGGAGAGCATGAGGGCTCACTTTTTTACTAATGTTGGGTTCTTTTTTGCAGGTACAATTTTGCTATCTGTACTCTATAATTTAAGGAAACCTGGGGTGGTGGTATTAGTACCTAGTACTCAGTTCATCTGGGGAGAATTAAATATCGAGTATAGCTTAGTAACAAGGAGATCCACAGATTGTGTGGTAAAAATTGGGGAAGTAATCCCACAGAGGACAACACACTACAACATTCACAGAATAATGAAAGCAACAAGCCATACAAAAAACAAGCAGAAATATGGTAGTACACAGATACACAGCATGCAGACATCAAATTCCCACAGTTTGGGAATCCAGATGGATGATGCATCTGTGGAAGAGAAAAGGAAAACGTATACAGAGATGCAAGGAAATACATACAGGGAGTCAGGCATATACCAAATCCTTTGGGAGGAGGATATGATGATCAGAGAATACTCAAGGGGCCATTCATGTACATGGACTTCACTATTATTCTATGGTGTAATGGAGATTCAATTGGTGGTATTAATGCTTAGCATTCATTCCAATGGATTAAAATTACACCTAGATAATAGTAAAAGTTCAATCTCAAATAACCCATATGAGGTCACAAATGCAAACAGGCTGCTGATAGTAAAATTCCTTTCAATCTCAAAGGAATATAACTGGATGAGGCACTTGTGGAAACAAACAAACATATTACAACAGACAAGTATACCATCAATCTTCAGGAATTTATATCCACAGGCAAAGCAGAAATCAGAGAAGGCACAAAAAATAAATCAGAAAGAGGAAGAGAAAATTTTTACTCTTAAAACATTATACAAAATCCACGGGCATAGTCAAGGAAATTGGAGCTGCATCTCAGCAGATTTGACAGGAAAATCAACATGCAACTCAAAGGATAGTGAGCAGGGAAAGTTCTTGAGCAACTCATCCAAACATGGAGCTGGACAATCCTTGTTGTCTCTAACTAGATGCGGTAGGCAACACTTAGGTGGAATAATGTCAGGTGAAAATCAACTCCAATCAGCTACAGTGGGAAATCATGAAGCAACTTTTAGGGAGATATACAGGATGATAGATTACAATGGAACATGGAGGAGCTTCAAAGAAGAAATTTTGGTCAGAATGGATGTTGAAGAGAAGATAGGGGGAGGAGATAATACCTATGTGAGTTACAGTGAGAAGCGAACAGATAAGTGGAGCTCAAATGAAGGGATACATGTAATAAAGAAGTATATGCAACGAAACACGTGTACATTAGGAAAGTTGGGATTGAAGAGGTTATATCTGCAAACACAAGGAGAGGGAACTTGGGTTTATTGGTGGCTACATATGCAAGACAGTAATACGCAAGGTCTGAGCTGGGGAGTACTACAAGCCAGCAAAATAGTTGGCCTCGATATGAAATTGGGCCGGCCAGTCAAGCAGCGGAGGAGGACAGAATTATTGGACCCAGTAACAATGGACTGGGTGTCTATGCAATGGACAATTAGGAGACCAATGTGGTTACGTATGCAATTTGAGGAGACCTGTGGCAATTTCTGCAAATTATTAGCTCCTTTGACATGGGCTGATATAGATGATGACGGGCCAGTAGTTTGGGCTTTTCAGGAGATTTTTTCATGGGCTAGTTTTTATGCAATTTTGAGTATCATTATTGTGATATCAGTTTTGAGTACAATGCTCAATTTTGATAATAGGACGTATGTAGAATTCAATTTTTATTTCGTACACTCATTAGGATCTCATGACACTTTGTTTGGTTTTTTTATATATTTATAAATAAAAACTAGCCCTAGGCTA